TTACAACTAATCAGGGATTCCTTTAAGCAAATTTAACAAAATGAACCTCACTATCAGTGCTGATTTGCTTCTTTTTTTTTTTAAAAAAATGTTTTATTTTCCTTTTTGTAATTTTTAGCCTGCTTTTTTATCAAGACTGCGCACAAATTGATTTTTTTTATAGTTCTCTGAGAATTGGTGGAACATTTTGAATTTAATAATTGTATCTGCTTTGTCAAGAGCATTCCAAGCACAGGTCCTTCAAATAATCAGCTTTAAAAACCGATGAGACCCTGAACCAGGTTAAGCTTCTTATATATATATAAAACTGAATTAGGAGGATTTAAAAAAATGAATAAAAAGTTTTTTTTTTAAATTTTTTTATTTTAATGGTTTCATGTCAAGGAAAAGTACGAGAAGTATGTTGGGTTTTCATACAAAATGTCCCAAACTGGTGGTCAGCTTGTTGTTTTTCTAAATCTTGTTATTGGTTTTGAGTTTTCTAAGGCTGACTTTGTGTTTGAACGTTCAAGTCAAACATTAAAGTTCCAGGTAAAGGCCTTTCGTGAAGTTTGTATTGTGCACTTGTGCAGGTTGTGAGCACTTTCCTGTCTTTGCTTGAAAATAAGGTGGGGGGCGTCCAACTGTGCTCTTGAGAGCTAACAGTAAATAGCAAACTGAATGATGTTTGCAGAGCTTAGTTTGAGTCTACCATGACCTTAAACAACAGGCACCAGCAGTGCCACCCAGAGGTTAATTTAGTGTTGAGAATCTACCTCTGAAATCCTCCGAGGTGTTACAAAACGGGGGGGTAGAAAACAGGTGCAGAAGTGGACAGGCATGCAGGCAAGCAGCAGCCTCATCATTTCATCCATTTCTGCTCTGCCGGCTCTGGTCACGTCTAAGGCGTGCAGTCATGCTGCTCAGTGTTTACCCTGGATTATGGAGACAGCTCTTCGCCCCGCGCAGTCCTCCCCGCTGAATTCTCCGCCTCACCACTCTCAGACACGCTCCAGCCCAGACGTGACTCATTCACACTCACACGCGGGGACAATGATGCCCGGGATCTCTGGGGACGCCAGCTCCCAGTGGGCACCAATCACAAAGCAAAGGAGGGAGAAGCCGGCCTCCTTGTTCACCGTAAACATAACCCTTTGACCTGGATCGAAATCAGCGAAGCCGAATCTGTCACTTAGATCAGCTTTTCTTGTGCTTAAATGCTGTCGCAGCTTCTGTAGCTCCATGACTCACATGGCTGGATACTTATTTTTGAATAGGGCGAGCCATCTGCCACCAGAGATAAATATTGATAAAAAGATGTTTGTTAGATCATCCGTGTAAGAAAAAAAAATCTTCTTAGATTTGATAGCATTTAGGATTACGTTTATCACAAAACTGAAAGTTTCAGTTATTTCCAATTAGCAACAAGCATTTTTATTGCTAAAGGTAAAAACTGTTTTAGCATTAGCTAAATATTTTGTGAAACCTTTAGGTGGCCACCATAGCTAGTCATTTTAGTAAGTTAAATGTACAAGTTTTGTATGCTATATACTCATCCATGATTATGCCCTATTTGTCATATTGCTCAGAAATATGATGAAATGCAAATAAAATATAAAACAACTATTAACATATTAGTTAAGTTACAAAAAAAGCGATTAGTGGGATATTGTTCAAGTTCAAGTGTACCTTGTCAAAATCTATGTAACGGGGTTTGCACAGAAGTTGAAATTGCGTTTCACTAGTCTCCAGTGTGCAGTTAAACATATCGATAAGACATAGACATTAAACCCCCCCCCCCCCCCACACACACACACATACATACCCACACAATGTGCAGTAAAAAACTAACATATTGATACATTTATTGTGAACAACTAATAAACATTTTATTCAAATTAACACTTTGAAATTTTGGGACATTATACATGTAAAAATACTAGAAATAATGCATTGAATAAAAGTCTTCCTGCTGGATTTTAGAAATTATTTAAGTCAAGAGAGAATGAATATAATTTACGAGGTTAATCTTTGAACATGCTAAAGAGAAAAGTCAAGTAAAATCTAGATGTGTTGCAGTTATTAGTGTGAAACTATGGGAACAATGATCAGAAATTATGTGCTTGTCGAGCTTTAAAAGAGTCTTAAAATGTAACATTACATAAGCCTATACTGTTTTGTAGATTTATATTTGTATTTTGTACCTGAATGTAATATACAGTATGTATATGCATGTCTATATGTATACACATGTATATTTAAGGCATGCGGGTACCACTTTACAATAAGGCTCCCCTTATAGATGGCTTATAAATAGTTATAGATAGGTTATTAATTTACCTGTAAACACTTTATAAAGTATTAATAAGTCTTTATTATGCATTAATTAAGGACAAGCAGAGACAAACTGTTAAAGGGAACCTTACTATAAAGTGTAAAACAGTACACTATTTACAGTATAAGGCTCCCTTATATTTATACATGTTTATTAGTAATTAATTAATAGTGTACTGTTTTACACTTTACAATAAGGCTCCCTTTGATAATTGTGAATATGTATAATCAGTAATACAGTACAATATTATGTGTAAAATATGTGTTTCCAATACATTATTGTGCTTACAAGGTAATAACCTATCTGAAATGTTTAATATAGCACCTTTAGATGTAATGTGAACAGATTTGGCTCACTTTTTGGCAAGAAACTGGACAGTTTTGTCTCCTCATCCTCAATTAATGCATAATAAACACTTATCAATGATTTATAAAGTGTTTACAGATGAATTAATACCCCATCTAGAAACTTTTCACAAGCCAATCTATAAGGGGAGCCTGATTGTAAAGGGGTACAGGTATGTCTGTGGATACCTTTTATTTTGTAGACTGAGGTTTTTTGAATATGGTAGACAAATATAAGCCTTGGCTTCAGCGTACTCTTTTTGATTTTTATTTGTAAAATAGTGTTTCACTTTATTTTATTTTTCTTGTAATGTTGTAAATTTATCAAAAATAAATCAAAATCTACTAATCAATCAAAAAATAGAGATATTGAGGTCAAGTTTATTTAGTAGTAGCTGAGGGTATGCATTTCCTCAATGACTGCTAGGCCTTTAAATTTGAATATTTTATCAGTTTTGTTCCGTTCGAGATGGCAGCTGTGTAGGTGTTTGTAACGCTGTCATAAATTTCATCAAATAAAAACATCACGTCTTCATATTAAGATTATCTGGATTTTTTTTTTAAGCAATCTCAATTTTGGCAACTTTACATTTTCAAAGAGAAGAAACCCAATTTGATTTTCTTATCTCTCACAGAGTGACAGATTTAGCACTGCGGTGGAGTTGATCTTGTTTTTGGTTGTAGTTTTGTGTGAGAACGTTGAACACTGTTGGCAGACTGTGCTGCGATCTGTCTAAAGGTTAGGAGCTGGGCTTCTGCTCTCACACTTAGTCAACAATGGGAGTCATTCACATCAGAGGTGATAGAATTTTTTTTTTCTGTTTTGTTTTTGTTGTTTTATTGGCCTAGATGTATACGGCTGCACAAAGGCAATAATTCAAGACCACGGGGGCGGAAACAACAGCAGTCGGAACGGTTTCTGATCTCATTTTTTACAATCTGTGCAGAAACATTTACGGCCAAAAAGTTTCTAAAGTTTCCACAAAATCAGCTTAGATTTGTAACAACAAATAAAACGCAGGGGTTGCATCTGATATTCAACCTCACACGGGACGCTTTAGCCTGAGGTTTTCTGCACACTAAGTTTGGGGGCAGGGAGGGCCAGTGTTGTACACATTACACATGAATGGGTTGGGAGGGCGCCAGTTGCAGCACAACTTGACTTCCAAATGAATAAATGAAGGCCATTAGTAGATCTGTTTATAATACGGTGGAGATAAAAGTAGGTCAAACGTAGCAGCCAAGGAGAGTGGAGGGAGCTGGGTCGCCGGTACCTACAACGACGAGTCGGGGAATTAGGACATGAAAATACCGTCTTTATTAACGATGACTTTTAAATGAATGTCATATCGAGTCGCTGGAGACCAGCGAGGATTTATCAGGGAAAAAAAAGCAATGTTTGGTGATCAGCCCGCTGCGCTTTATCTGTGGCTGTGTTATAGGGGAAGGGGGAGGCCCAGGGCGATGCCTCCCCGCCCCCTCCATCACAGAAACGCAGAATTAGGCCTCAGAGGGCAAAATGTGCAGCGAGGATGCTCCCACTGCTGATACCCTGAAGATATGTCCGCTTTGATGCCGCTGAGGAATCTGTGTTTAATTTTCATCATTATGTTCTACAATATAAAGTCAAACGGCAGCGCTTCCCGCCCTCCCCCAGACATTGTTCTCAGTCTTACAGAAATCAATCACACTGATACTTTAAAAACTTGCTGTGTATTCATTAGCTTTTATTGGCAGCTCGCTGTGTGTCCCGGCGTTATTTTTATATCGGCAAACATGACCCGTAGCTGCCTTTTTTCTTTTTTTTTTTTTTTTTTTTGCACGCTTGTTGTTTAGTTTATTGGTCAGCACAGATATTGCAGGCTTTAGGGCTCTCCAGCCAGCCACTAATCTTGCTGTTAGAGTAGAGAAGGATGTCTGCAGGGAGCAGTAAAACGGTACTATGTCATCACAACTCGCCCGGCTTGTATTAAGTGCAGGATGCTGCAGGAAACCTGGACGCGGGCGAATGGGACATCGGGGACTAATTCCGACACATCACCACAACACCGTAAGCAGCCGGCGCTGCAAATCCACGCCATTATCTCAGGGCGTGTGCATTATACATGCAGATACATACCACTCTATATGAAAACACTCTTAAAGGGACAGTCCAGTCAGTTTTGATGTGTCGTTCTGTCATGGTCATAGATATATCAGTCATAGAGCTCGCTCTTGTCTCCATGTTTGTATTTGTAATTATTTCTATTACTTTGTTTTCCCCTATAGAAACGACACCCGGTCCAGTCATTCTGTGTTTGAATTTGTCCCATTTTGTGTCCCTTCAAAGCCCAGCCAGTCGAGGCAGATGCTGCTCATCCTAGCCCCAAATCTGCTGGAGGTTTCTTCCTGTTAAAAACGAGTCATTTCTTTCCAGTCGCCAATACTCAGAATAAAATATAGTGACAAAGTAAAGATTTGACGCAATCTGCTGGCTTCCAGGCTTTATGTGATTTATTTTATTATCTTTATATAAACACATATTGTGGGCTTTTTCCCCTCCCACTCACGCAGCTCAAGGTTGCATCTCCCACGCCTCACAAAAACACTTCCATCTAATGATTAAATCAAAGACGAAGAAGCTTTTTTTTCATGACCATGAGTATTTTTTTTAATTTTGACAATGCACTACGTTAGCTGGTTTTAATTAGCTAATGGAGCATTCTTTTATACCAGTTTGTTGTTTTTGAAAAAGTTACTTTGTTAACTTAAAAACAATCTCATTTTGTTTACTATTAGTGTCATTTTCTCCATACTTACTCACTGCTGATATAGTTCAGTACTGATAACGATTAGATGGAGCATCACTTCAAGAATGACCAGACGATTTCTTTAAAGCTGAGAAATGCTGCTGCTTTTGTTATATTTGACCATGAATTTCTCTTCTTTTCTTCCTTCTTTCTCAGCTCCATCTCCCGTTCCTTAAATCTCGCATGTCGGCCTTTGCAGGTTGACCTAAAACCGGCTCGTCTCAGCAGCCGAGGCCGCGCCGTTGTTGCATATATGATGAGCATAAAGGGGAAAGTCAAAGTGACCTCCAGCSCTGTGATGAAAACCCGCGCAGTTCAAGCGCAATCGAGGGTCTTCCATAATTCAGTGATCTCAGGAGAAGACAAAGTGAGCTGTGTCTGTTTTAGAGCCAGACAGCATGTGTGCTGCATTGACTGGCCCTCATCCTTTGGCACAACTGAAGGAAYGGGGAATTAATGGAGGAGCACGATTGGGGGGTTTGTTATCGCCCGCAATCGAAGAACGGACAGAGAAATCGCTTTTGCATGTGGATTTGCAATCGATTTTACAAATTTTGTACTAAGCTGACAGGCATTCACAACATAAATCCAACTGCTCATGCTGTTTTCAGGGTTTGACCAAAGCGACCACATCATCTATTCTGAGCATAAGACGATTTCCGTTTTAAACTCTGGCATAAAAGGTAGCAGCTGATGTGCATCAATGAGTATTGTACAGTGGTGGGCAGCGCTAATTCAAAAATTAGCTCCGCAGTTTCTAAAGCGCTTATAAAAATATTTAGGTCTGCAACTGCAAAAACGCTAATGCGATAGTAAAACTAGCGGAAGCTAATTTTAAAGCACAAATTCAATTTCACACTTACTAGCTGGCAATTAATGTACAACATATGCACAACACTGCCAACTAGTGGTGTATGAACCCTTTTACAGCTTAATCTTACAA